TCATTGTATCAATGATCGCTTGCGGAGTATGCTCTGGCAGTATAAGAAGGTGCTTTACATTATACCAACCAACGCACACACACACACACACATGATTCAAAGATACCAATTGTGTTTAATTGGCCAAGTAGAGCTATGAAAATATCTGAAACACTTTTTGCAAGTAATTTTCAAAATGCGAAAAAAGACGGAATTTCCTCTTTTCACAAAAAGTGGATAATATCCAAAAAATGCATTTTTAAAACTGTTTCGTTTTAACTCACCCTATACTTACCAAAAGTCAGTCATAAACAAAATGAGTCTTGAAGTCTTGTATTTCGTTTATCGAAGAATCCTACGTCGCATTTATCGTGCTTATCACAATTCGCCTGGAAGTAGGCCTACAAATGCTTTCCTGTACAAATATGATTTGCTTTTTTTCGCTTCATAACATAATGTAAGCGAATAATATCGACGCTTGCGTAGTAAAGCTACGTTGAATTCGATGACATGAATCGGTTTATACGCTTGACGAATTTACATTTACTGAAAGGTTGAGAGGATATATCCGAAATGGTCATCTCATCACTTTCATGTTGTATTTATTTCGGATATTACCTAAATTTTGTCGTTTCAGGGTTCTGTACCTCAAAAATAATAATTATAATAATAATTAAATATTTCCCACACTCACACCAATTAGCCTAGCCCAAAAACAAGCACTGTAAGGCTTGTTGTTATGGGATGCTTAGGTAACGAAAGAATACATATACTGATACATATATAAGTAGATTTTATCTAGAAATAAATAGTATAAACATCCATGACTAAGGTACAGATGCTCGTATTCATACTAACATTTGCTCCCACCGGGATTCGAACCCGATACCTCTGAGTAGGCAACGCCATAAAACCCGGCGTCTATACCACTCGGCCACGGAGGTCGCCGGAAAAAGAAAAAACGGAACCCTTTTAGGATGGATCATTTTGTTGTCTGTTTGTCTGTCAAGATCCTTTATCTTTTGAACGCGTGGAGTTGAAATTTAAACCATTTACTTAGGTCTACGTTCCCTTTTAGGCTTGAAGCTGTAAAAAGATCAAACTTCTAATTCAACTTAAATAAATATATGGCCGTTTATCTGTCTGACTGTAAATAGGTACCCTTTATCTCTGGAACGCGGCTCCACGTGTTACGCATATAGAGTTAAAAGGACATCGCTCGTTCCCCATACATTGAATGGCCCAGAACGCACAGCAATGAGAAAATGCTAGTTGTCTTCGGAATCATTTATAAATTCTCATCAGGCATTTGTTGAAACGCGGATAACTTGAGGAACCGTGGCCTACTACATAATGTATTAGATTTTGAGGTTATAATTATTATACTTAATCGTAAAATGAGGTGCACTTTATAATGTTCTGAATAGATTTATTGTTTACCTCTATGTAAGCACTTAAATAACATGAATGAAATGAACATAAAATGCAATTAATAATAAAAATAATAAATGCTCATATTCATATTGATTTATGAGTGTTGGCAATTAGCACCTTTGATACCTATAAGTACCTGTTTAATAATAGATTTCCTTAAATGAAATGTTTAAAGGCATTCTATTTACCTGTTTCTATATTTTATGTTTGGTAATAATGTTTATACCTGGTTATCATTATGATTTTCATAAAAAGAAACAGATCTTATACGGAATGGGAGTATATTTACATAATTTCAGTAGTTATTTAGCAATATAATATAATTACTAATGATAAGTATTATTAGTATTAATAACTAAGGAGGTAGGTACTGCGGCGATCTACTCTGAAGGGATAGATCCTGGGGGCGTAGTTTTATCAAATGGAAAACAACTTATATGTTTAACTCTTTTATTTTATTTGAAATCAGGCGAATATAATAATTGAAATTAGGAATCCTCTGTCGTTTGATAGAAGATTCCTAATTTCAATTCTTAAAATCATGACATTACCTTTTTAATATGTCTGCCAGCCGTAGTCATTACAATATCAACAAAGAGTTTACCCAAAAGGAGGCTGTAACGCAACGGACGTTACGTTGTTCTATTCTATAGGTAATGTTGATCAGTGTTGCCACCTTGGCGGTTTTTCCACCAGAACTGGTGCTTTTTCACGGCTTCTAGTGGTATATTTTCATGATCTAGCTATCTATATTTTTTTTGTGTTTTTAGTGGTTTTTTGACATGAACATATTTTTAAGGGGGAAATCCCCTAACTTTCCGAAATTTCATAATGTTCTATGCTTACTCTGTGACAGGGGAATTCCTACACGCCTTTGTCTGTTAAGGGCTTCCTTTAATCGTTCATTCTGTTTAAGAAATTAGGTTCACATTCATTGTGTTGTTAAAAAGTGTAAAAGTTTGATTTGTTTGAACTCACTCACAGTGTGTGAACTCCTGAAGCTGTATGTTTAGAGTATTCAATTATATGTTATTATGGAAATTCTATTCAAGAATTACTTACAAAAGTATAGAAAAGAATGGGAATCACTCGAAGAATTCCAAACCTGGCTTAAACCTTTAGCAGGTGTTGATGCGAAGGTGTTTTGTTTATTTTGTAAAGCAGGATTATTAGCAAAAGTAGTAAATTTGAGAATGTCTTCTCATGAGAGACATGCTGAAACAAAAAAGTACAAACAAAAAATGCAAATTCTATCCGGCAATCAAACGATATCGATTTTTATTTCTTTATTATAAAGAATGAATGTAAATACATATTTACCTGGTTTTATATCATTCTCTAGTACTACTAAGGTAACGCTCGGAAAAGTTATAAGTTAATAAAAACAATATTGCCATTTTTTCAAATAACTAAATTTTACTAATTTAGAACGACTGCGGGATACAGTTATTTCTGTAGGATTTCATACATATTTACTGGTTTTTTTATTTAAATTAGGGGTTTTTGTTGGCTGAGATGTAATTATAATTTAGCGGATTTTGGTGTATTTTAATAATTTGAAATCTGGCGACATTTTACCTTTGGCTTGGCGCCTTAAAAAAATCCAAGGTGGCAACACTGATGTTGATAAATAGCTATGATCGCGTATATTGCAGTACAAAATGGCTCGAATCGAATTGAATTTAATAAAATCAAACAGTTTAAAACAGTAGCCCCTGTAGCCCTCATTTAGCTGAGACAATCTCTTAGTACTTACTCTAAGGATGACATGACAGCAAATTGTGTAGTATTTACAGAACTTTAAATTTTTATTTTTTTACCACAGAATGTCCGTTTTCTTTGAATAATCTATACTTATAATAAATCTGTAGAGGGGTCAATTCTGTACATGAAATATATTTTCAAAATAACTATCAGGGGGTGATTAGTGATCAATACTGATGCCAAAAATGCAATCAGTAAAATTTTTGTCTGTCTGTCTGTCTGTCTGTCTGTGTGTATGTTCCTTATAGAAACAAAAACTACTCGACGGATTTTAACGAAACTTGGTACAATTATTCTTCATACTCCTGGGCAGGTTATAGTATACTTTTCATCACGCTACAATCAATAGGAGCAGAGTAATGAAGGGAAATGTTGGGAAAACGGGAGAAGTTACTCCATTTTTTAAGCTTCCGTCGCTTGCGCAGCCTTAATGGTTAAAGTTACATAGAAATTATGTTTGACGGAAATATTCTACATAAAATTTTCTAAAAAATATCCCGCAACAGCATATGTCTATCTTTTATGGTTGACTTACAATAACACGTGTAACTCCTGATAGCTTAGCAGTTCGGAGCATTCTGATTATATTTGTTTACTCTTACGTTTATAATACTCTCACTCATCCCTAATTTAAAAAAGTTAACATTATTACCTATTCAATAAAAAAAGAATCATAGAAATCGGTATTGAAACACCAAACTTATACATGAAATAAGCCATCGCGCCGTCGCACCTGAATACTGAATCATGCTATAAGGATTTATTTTTGTGTAACGGATAAGACAAAATGATCGACCAATGGGCGGTATCACAGTTTTATTATGTGGTGATTTCCGACAAACCTTACCGGTAATACCACGGGGAACCCGAGCTGATGAGGTTAGGGCTTGCCTGAAAAGCTCTTATTTGTGGCGTGATATACAATCGGTGCATTTGACTATAAACATGCGAGTGAGAACTGGAGATAACCCGGATGATCGTGAATTTTCTGATATATTATTAAGGATTGGTGAAGGTACCTATCCACTACTACACCAAGGAAAACTTATTCTGACGCCTGAATTATGTTGTATAGTGCAATCCCAACAACATATCTATCCACTGCTACACCAAGGAAAACTTATTCTGACGCCTGAATTATGTTGTATAGTGCAATCCCAACAACATCTTATATCGTCAGTTTACGGTGACGTAACAAATATAGCTATATATATAAAACTCAAAGGTGACTGACTGCCATAGTGATCTATCAACGCACAGCTCAAACCACTGGACGGATCGGGCTGAAATTTGGCATGCAGGTAGATGTTATGACGTAGGCATCCGCTAAGAAAGGATTTTGAACAATTTCACCCCCAAGAGGATAAAATAGGGAATGAAAGTTTGTATGAAATTTTAAACCGATCGGGCCTGAGACTTTGCATGCAGGTATAAGAAGAATCATAGATGAATGTCATTGTGTATAATACAAGCCTGAGAACAAAAACTGTAGTCTACACTTCAGCTCTACACCGAAGCGAAGCGAGGGCGGGCCACTAGTTGCTAATAAAGTAAAAAAAAATAGAAAGGATATCATGAAGGACATTCGTTTGTGCATGCTGGGGCAGATTTCGTCAATGTCCTTTAAACCTTATAGTTACTTATGTCTACGGTCGTTTGAAACTGTGAAAAACGGGACACTCGATGGGAGTCCTATTTTTTACTTTTCTACTTTTAAAATCAGGTCTTAACGATTCAACCAATGCCCTTTAAGATTTGGAGAGAAGAACGCTTAACCTTAATAATCAGTAGTAGTTTATCAAACCCCACAAACCTTTTTATAGGGGACTTCTCTGTGCTTCAAGTGTCTTTCAACCTTCAAAGGCACACAGGCTACTTCCTCATCCAGGTGTACGTGCCGTGCATTCTCATTGTGGTGTTGTCCTGGGTCTCCTTTTGGATACATCGTGAGGTAAGTAGCGGCCTCTTTTAAGAATTTATGTTTATCCAAGGTAACCGCCTGGATCTCTTGCTTATTGCCTTGTTTTACAACAGTGATTCGAAGAAATTAAAATGAAAGAGCAAACATTTTTACAGTTCTTATTAACTAAGTTCCAAAGCAAGCCCGAACCCACTCACCTACTCCGTTTAGCCGTCTGTTATCTTATTTACCAACAGAAACAGTATATCCTCAACATGAAGTAGTATTTGAGGAGCTCGGTTGTCCAGGTGGTTAGTCCGTTTGGCTTGCGATCGTGGAATTTAAGCAACTTTCGCAATGACCGGCCGTCGGTTACATCGGATGGGTGACCGAAAATTTATTATCCTGATCTCCTCCTTGCTTCGTAAGGCACGTTAAGCCCTTGACTGCAGATGCGGTCGGAACCAACACCCACAAATCCACACTGAGACCGTGTGGTGGGTCACGGCCCAATCTCCCTATTCCATCGATAGCGAAGACCTGTACTTCAGTAAGGGGACATCAATGGGATTGATGATGATAATGATGATTTAACTATGATCTTCTGTAAAGTGAAGGTTACTTTCCGAGACGCGAGCTCCAATGCTATTGGAAAAACCGCTGTGTATTCAACCTCCCTTTTAAGTAAGTGGCATTTTCCGTTCCAAACACGACATTAACACAGTTGTCGCATATAGGATCCTATCCACCGCAAGCTATATTTAGCGATGGACATTTTAGTAGTTCGCACTTTGAACACAGCTCAAAAAAATGCGACTCTAAATTCGCTTCATTCCTATAACCTCGCCTAAAACAACATGGACGCGACGCTGTTGCTCTATTTTGCTATATTAATAAGACCTTCATTTAGAGTTGGTGGCAAGAAGTTTGTATAGTACACGTAATACAAAAGGCGGATATTCTCAGGCTACCTCTGATCGCGTCGGGCTAGGCATCACGACGGTGCTGACCCTATCCACCATCAGCCTGGACTCGCGCACCGACTTGCCCAAAGTGCGTTACGCCACCGCACTAGACTGGTTCCTGCTCATGAGCTTCTTCTACTGCATCGCCACGCTCCTCGAGTTTGCTGGAGTACATTATTTTACTGAGGTATAGTTTTAGTATACATACGATTGCTGTCTAGTTCGTTACATCACGGTTGTATCACATTAAATTAAATACGAATTTAATGAAACACATGCTTTATTATTCACTCCTGGATGACAAGTAAAAGAGTGCTAAAAACTATCTATATGACAGCTGTCATATTAATAATCCCTTCCTTTCTTCAAAATAAAAATATACAAAGTTCAAATAATAGCCAACTTAATTAACTTTATAGCAACTAACAGAGATCAAACAAATCACATATATTACTGAAAGAATGTTTTATAACATAGTATCTTGCTATCACATTACACCAAAGATTGTCTTAATAAACTTAGAATTCTTTTTAAATCTTTAAATAATAATCAACATTAATAGAACTGTTTGTTTTATCTAACCTTGGTATCACTAAGTACAAACTTAAAGATTGTAGTTAATGCATCTAAGACCTACGGCTCGATTTCTTATTTTATTTTAGAGAATCAATAATAAGACCCAGAAGAAAGTCATTATACTTAGGAGGCAAACGTCGCTTTCTCTGAGGTCTATTCATAGTGTTTGTCAAGTCATAGTTTTCTTCATCTGTCAAATCTAGTGTCCCACTTTTTTCTGCTTCTCCTTCTTCTACAATATTCTTCCTATGAATACCATCTCCTTCATCATGAGTTTTTCTGAATCTGCCTGGATCTCTATTCTTTATAGGCTTGAAGTGCGAAGAGTTTCTTCTTACTATTTTTCCTTTCCAGCTCTCCAGAGTACAGTATGTTCACTAGGTGAAAACGGTGTAGTCAATTTGTTTTCTTCTTTTGACGTACCAGCACTTTGTCACCTGGCTGTAAATTCAATTCTTTAGCATGCCTTCTTTTATCTGCATACTGTTTGTATAAATCCTTTTTGTATCTGTCATTATCCCTCATTTGCGCATCACATAGACGAAATTCTGTTCTTATTTCTGGTATCTTAGTTTTTATTTTTCGTCCTCTGAAAACATCTCCAGGAGAAATCCCAGTGGTTGAATGAGGAGTAGTCCGGTATGCTAAAAGGTATGTTTGAAGTTCTCTCTTCCAGTCGAGATTCATAGCTTGGGCAATCCTAAGCCTTCTTAACACACTCTTATTTTGTCTTTCTACTTCTCCATTTGCCTGAGGCCATAATGGAGTGGTGTGCCTAAGTCTTATTCCATTTGATGCCAAGAATATTTAAAACGTTCGTCTCTAAATGCTGGCCCATTGTCGCATATTATTTCATCCATAAGGCCTTCTCTGCAGATGACATTTTCTAATGTTTTAATCGTTGTCTCAGCTGTTTGATTTCTTAGAATCTCGACTTCATAATACCTACTATAGTAGTCTACAATAATGAGTAAATAATAAACTGCGGCAGAGGCCCCAGGTAGTCTAAAGCAACCAATTCCCATACTTTGCTGGGCAGATTAGTTGGTACTATAGGTTCTGGGTATGTGTCTTGTCTGACCAGCCTACATCCTTCACATGTGTCTATCCAATATTCTATATCTTTGTCTATTCTTTTCCACCATACTTTTAGTCTAAGTTTTGCTTTCATAGAGTTAATTGATAGATGTCCCTCATGCCCAAGCCCCAAAATTCTTTCTTTGAAATCAATTGGTATAATTATTCTTGTTCCTCTTAGTATTATGTTGTTGAAGACACATAGCTCGATCTTTATTAACTCATATTTTCTCAATTCTTTTGGCCATGTGTCTGTTTCAAGAGCTTGTCTTAGCTCACATAGTTCTTTGTCCTTTAGTGTACTTTGTTCTATCTCTTCCATTGTGACTGCCCATAAGTTTTGGTCTATCAAGGCCATAAGTAGCTGGTCTTCATAATCTTCCGTACTTTTTATTGAATTATTACTTATATCTAATAGCCTGGATACTGGATCTGCAATGTTGTACCGTCCTAGTTTATAAATCACCTTAAATGTAAATGGCTGCAATCTTAGGACCCAACGCTGTATGCGAGCACTAGGCTTCGAATTTACAGAATATATTATCTCTAACGGTTTGTGATCAGAAAGGATATGAAACTGTTTCCCAATCAAGTACATGTATAGGGTTTCGCAAGCCCAAACTATGGCCAAAGCTTTTTTTCAGTTTGGGAATAGCGTTGCTCAGTTGAGGATAATGCTTTATTAATGTACTTGATAATGAAAGGTTGTTTTTCGCCTTTTATAGTCTGTTTCTGAATCAAAACTGCTGCTATTCCTACTGGGCTTGCATCTGTCACTAGCGTTGTTTCTGCATGTTTGTCATAAAATTCAAGTGCTGGAGCTGAAACTATCAGTTGCTTCAATTTCTGAAAGACTTCTTCATGCTCATTATTCCATGTAAAAGTAACATCCTTTTTAGTAAGCTCTCTCAATGGTGCAGTGATTGTGCTAAATTGTGGTATGAAACGAGCTGAAAAGTTCACCAGCCCTAGAAAGCTTCTTACCTCAGTCGTGTTCTGTGGAGCTCTGAACTCCTGTATTACTTGCTGACTTGACCTGGTAGGTTTTATGCCTGCTGCTGAAATATGTTGACCAAGGAAAGTTATCTCAGAAGCTCCAAAAGTGCATTTCTGTGCATTGAGTGTCAGTCCATTATCATGCAGTCTCTTAAGTACCTCTTTTAACCTGGAGTCATGTTCCTCTTGGGTGCGCCCTCCGATTCGAATGTCATCTTGGCTGTTTGCAACACTATCAATACCTTGAAGCAGATGCGCTATCACTCTTTGGAAAATCTCTGATGCACATCTTATACCGAAGAATAGCCTCTTGTATCTAAAAAGTCCTAGGCTTGTGCTGAACACTGTAATATTTCTGGATCCTTCGTCAAGCTCCAGCTGATGGTAACCAGATTTAAGGTCCAAAGTAGAAAAGAGCTTACATCCATTTAAATCTGCTAAGAGCTCTTCAAATGTAGGCAGTGGGACACGTTCTCTGAAGACTGCTTCATTTGCTTTTCTCATGTCCACCACAAGACGGTATTGGTCATGTCCTTTTTTCTTTACAATGTGGGATGGGGATACGCATGGGGTTGGTCCAGTCACCGGTTCTATAATGTCATAGTCTAACAGTTCCTTAACCAGTTTTTCTTCTATAGGTCTCATATTGAATGGCTGTCTTCTAACCGGTTGAGCTATTAGTTTAACATTAGTATCAACAGGAATAGTCAATTTAAAATTACTAAGTTTACCTATGCCTTGGAATAAATTTGGATACTCTTTACTAATAGTTTCTTTAGAGATTGATGGCTTTACCGAATAAACTTAGCCATCTTCAGCAGAAAGTGGACCTAATCTTAATAAATTTAATTCAATTGAAGCTTGCCTACTTAACAGAAATGGGCCTCTACCATTATAGATCAACACATCTGTATACACTTTGCGTCCAGTTACTCGAGAAGATAATACAGTTGAAAACATTCCTAACTTATCGAACTCTTTCCCTCCATAAGCAAGGTACTTTTCCTTACTTTTTGTCAGTGTACAACAAAATCCTGAACTAATTAATTTTATAATGTGTGTTTGTCTATAATGTTTATTGAAGCTCCAGAATCTATAATGAATTGACAAGGAAATTTATCATCTATCAGTAGTGTACACTTATTGTCCATACTACTTATTGTAAATATTGAATTCACTTCTATATGTTCATTCTCACTTTCACTATTGTCATCTGCTTCCCCCGATTCAGAATCACTGTCATTTGTAACAATGTATTTCACATACCTCTTCTTCCTTTTACCATCCTTGTTTTTAACTGTTGTGTATTGTTTCTTTGAGCTTTGAGTTTTGCAACACTTTGCAAAATGTCCCTTCAGTCCACATTTGTCACATTTCTCGGATGCTGCCGGACATTTACTATCCTTTGCTGTATGTCCTTTATTTCCACACCTGTAACAAATAAAATTCTGTGCCACTCTATTCACGCACGCTTCTCTTTGTTCTTCCTTTTCTTGTTTCATGGGATGCACAAACATATTTTCTTCCAACTCAAATAGTCTGGCTATCTCTAAAGACTTGGCTAAAGTAAGATTTCTTCCTTTCTTTAAAAATTTCTTCTTAAGTTCTGTATTGACACATTTTTCTACAAGCTGATCCCTTATCGCTTCCTCGACATCAGGAAAGTCGCAGTATGTAGCTTGTTTTCGTAACCTCAAAACGAATTTGTCCACAGTTTCATTTTCATACAAATGTTTCGAAATTTCAGCCTTTCGTAGGCGGTTTTTACTGCCGGTTGAAAGTAGTTTGTTAACCTGAGCTTACATTTTTCATACTCGTTAGAACCTTCGACATTTTCGTCTTTGAGCACCTCATAGATATCCTGTACTTCTGGTCCCGCTTGATGTAATAATCTACTTACTTTTTGTTTATCACTAAGTCCAATTTGACCATCTATGTAATATTCGAAGTTCCTGAGCCAGGCTTTCCATCGCTCTCCCGTGTTTGGTTCACCAAAGGGATTGAAAATAGGCCCCGCGGCCCCCAACGTATACTCCATGTCATCCACACCTGAATGCCGACTTTCGTCGTAATTTCACGCAACACTGTGTTATCCTCGTCGCCAAATTGTCTAGTTCGTTACATCACGGTTGTATCACATTAAATTAAATACGCATTTAATCAAACACATGCTTTATTATTCACTCCTGGATGACAAGTAAAAGAGCGCTAAAAACTATCTATATGACAGCTGTCATATTCAGACGCATTCCGTTTCAGAACTCTACAATTGCTTTTGTTGTGGTTTTGTAACTTTTTGCTTATTGTTATTCACAATATAAGTATCGGCTTTTTCCATGGTCGGTTATTGATATGGATCTAGAAATGGTCTATACGTAGATAGAAGTGCAGCAATCAGAATTGTATCTATGCCTAATTGCCATTACCATAGCGATGCTTTATGCCATTATAATCATATCAGGCGTGCGACATCCACTGCTAAGTATAGGCCTCCTCCGAGGATCTCCACACCGACTGGCCTTGTGCTATTCGCATCCTTTACCAGATACCAGACCTTTACCAGATCGTCGGTCTTCCTCGTGGGGGGCTCACTCACTGATCATCATCCGGTGTGTGGTCGTCATTCGAGAACCCTTTCGTCCCAACGGCCGTCGGTTCTACTTGTTACGTGTCCCGCCTATTGTCATTTCAGCAGAGTCGTTAGGAACGACCAGGAGCGTATTTAATCTGGGGCCAAGAGGAGAATGACCCGGAGCGGCAGGTTGCGAGGGGTGCCCAGAGCCCATTATGTTATGTAAAATCTTTATTCATTAGTTGATTAACTTTCTGTCCACGATTGCGTGACCGTTTACTTTACATGTTTGTTATTGTTTTCGTTCAGAGTCCAACCAACATAGGAAAAATGAATATTATTATAATTTTAATGACATCACTTTTCCAATTCCTCAGGTTGGATCAGGAGAAATAGTAATCGACGACTCTGAATGGGAGGAGCTGATAGAGGAGGTAGGAGGCGACGCGTTCGCTGCGCGGCAGTTGGCGGTGCGCCGGCGCAGCAGCTCTGTTCGCTCCGCTACCAATTATGTTTGTATTCTTATTATTACTAAGAACTAATAATCGATAAGATAAAAAAAAATGATGCCTATAATTTTGTTTAAAAAAAGGAAAAATATTGTCTTTGACTAAAAATGAAAATCAGTATAACTTCGTAGGTAATTTGTTGCCTCAAATAAAATTAATGTCAAGATTTTTTAAGTGTATCGATTCAGATTGCGAGGTTAGATTAAAGTTATTCGACGAAATCTGCGAAATAATAAGGTACTTATTCTAATCATCATAAGTATTATCGAATCGAAAGAACATTGTTCAGCGTCCATACATAGTTAGCCTAAGAACCAACAATCATGAAATATTATTTTCTATGTTCAAAATCGTAAGTAAATGACTGTAAAAACAAAGATTATTGACAGACACTTCTGAGAACTTAAATTATTAGGAAAACTAAATTTTTTTTTTGAGGTTATGTTTAATATTCAATGAAACATAGGTCAACCTATGAATTTAGTATGAACTCAGTATGAAGTGAATTGATATTACAACTAATTCATTTTATTCGGTGCGATTTTAAAGAATAACTACTTATTAGGAAAAACTTGGTTAGGTAGGAATCATGAATAAAATATAAACTGTAGTTTTGCTTCTTATTTATTGACTATTTTTCACATAATTGTATCATATTGTTTATTGTATCTATTTGTATATCACATGTATATTGTGTAAATATGCAGCGTGAATGTGTATTAGGTGTTCTTGAATAATTTGGCAGTATGATTCTCTCAGGATGTTGTGGCACAGGTTCACTAGCACTTGGTAATAAGGGCTCTGCTCTTTGGTAACATCGATGGCATATTAGATAGCCGAAATAGTTAAATTAAAGGAAAACAATCGCAAATAAATACACACAACAGGTAATCCGAAACGAGAATGCACTTTCCGGTATATAATATACTACTCTTTGGAATGCACGAATGCCACAGATTACTATTAAACTGCATGCACCGCAACCAAAGAGTAACAAGTTTTATGCCGGCCCTTCACTTGACAAAAGTTTGTCCTTGTCATGCTTAATAAGGAATGAAAAGGACAGCCTGATATCATGTTTTTAAATAGCAAATACGAATAGCCAAGTGAAGTGCCGGCATTAGGAAGAAAGAGTGTTTTGTTTGCAGCGCTGCCATAGATTATACACATAAAATGGTATTTATTGTCTCAGATTATTATTTAACTTTTTAATTTAGTTTACTTAACTGGAAGTGTATGTCACAATCTAAATGCTGAGAATTATCGCAAAAAATATACTAAGAATTATCATAAATGCCAAATTGGTGTTGGTTCTTAGGCCAATTTTAACATAGTCCTTTACGCTCATACTTATTTGTACTCCGTAGTGATTTACTGTATTGAATTTCCAGAGCTTCTCTCTTCCGGCGAACAGTAACGCGAACGAAGAAAACGGTCCGCAAGCGGGCATTGCAGATTCAGGCGGAGGTGCGGTCCGACTCACTATGGAGCGAACCACGCAGACAGAGCGGCGCGTGCCCCGCTGGAGGCAGCTGCTGTACTGCCTCGCCGGCGACGACAAATACCGCCGCCAGCGACAGCTCGAGGCCGGTAAGTGGCACCGCTCCCTGCAGCCCGCACACTAACGCCGCGTGCCCCGCTGGAGGCAGCTGCTATACTGCCTCGTCGGCGATGACAAATACCGCCGCCAGCGACAGCTCGAGGCTGGTAAGTGGCACCGCCCCCTGCAGCCCGCACACTAGCGCCGCGTGCCCCGCTGGAGGTAGCTGCTGTACTACCTCACCAGCGACAACAAATACCGCCGCCAGCGACAGCTCGAGGCCGGTAAGTGGCACCGCCCCCTGCAGCCCGCACACTAGCGCCGTGTGCCCCGCTGGAGGCAGCTGCTGTACTGCCTCACCAGCGATGACAAATACCGCCGCCAGCGACAGCTCGAGGCCGGTAAGTGGCACCGCCCCATGCAGCCCGCACTTAGCACCGCGTGCCCCGCTGGCGGCAGCTGCTGTGCTGCCTCACCGGCGACAACAAATACCGCCGCCAGCGACAGCTCGAGGCCGGTAAGTGGCACCGCCCCCTGCAGCCCGCACCTAGCGCCGCGTGCCCCGCTGGCGGCCGCTGCTGTGTTGCCTCACCGGCGACGACAAATACCGCCGCCAGCGACAGCTCGAGGCCGGTAAGTGGCACCGCCCCCTGCAGCCCGCAAATACCGCCGCCAGCGACATCTCGAGGCCGGTAAGTGGCACCGCCCCCCTGCAGCCCGCACCTAGCGCCGCGTACCCCACTGAAGGGAGCTGCTGTGCTGCCTCGATGTCGCCTCGACGCATAGAGTAGCATGGCCGACGTGGCCAGGAGGGGAGTAAGCATACACGTAGACAATAGACATCCCTTTTGCCGGTTTTTTGTGGTATTTGGCGGTGTGTTGCGACACTGTTTGTGTGAGAGTCGGTCGATTTAAGAAGTCTCAATCAAGTCATAAGTATTTTTATAAGTCCGGTCTCGCACCTTTAGTACTTACGTAGGTATCTATGTATAAATTACTTATAAAAAATGCACTCATAGCTGCAATCGAAGCCAATTCTGTGAAGTCTTAGCACCACAGCGGAAAAAGGGGGCAAAAGAAGCAGCATAGAAGACCCTTTCTTCCATAAATGAATCCATACTAATGTTATATATGCGAAAGTGTCTTTGTCTGTTTGTCTGTGAACAGACAAAAACTGTAAAAAAAGAGTTAAAACTCTTCACGCCTAAACCACTGAACCGATTTAGATGAAATTTGGATATAGAGATAGTTTGAGTCCCGGGATAGTACAAAGGATAGTTTTTATTCCTAAAATCATTCTCAAAGGGAGTGAAAAGTGAGGTGGAAATTCCTATGGGAAACCTTGTTTTCGCATCCGAAGTCTCGGTCATCCCATATTAAAAGTGGTAGTCTGTTTCCGTCCTGCAGCGACAAAAAAAAATATTTCGAAAGCTTGTTTTATATTATATTATGAACAGAAACTTTTAACTTTTTATTTATCTCCGATTAATATTAAATCATGTTTCAAAGTTGAACAATTTTGCAAGGATTTTAGCCACCCTGGCAAAAGCATCATGGGTGTATTCCAAAATATACATCAGTATACTGGCCAGTGGTAATGACGTCACGAATCCGACGCCATATTGTACTGGTATGCTACCGGGATATTTTTACCGGGAAAACGAATATGACGTATGACCGAGCGTGCGTGAGATGCATTCGAATTTTATTTCTTTTTTATTTAAAGAACAATAATGGGATGAGGTGAATAAAACATCTTCTTTATTCGCACTATTTTTAATATTTCGTCGATTTATAAAGTTAGTGCACTGGCCAGTATATTTTGGAACACTTACCAGTGTAGCGTCGATTCATGACATCATTAGCACTGGCCAGTATGCTGGTATATATTACGGAATACATGTACACCCCATATCTTTAGTGTGTGACAGCTTATAACGTCAACTCAATCACTATGGCAAATGTCAATCAGTCCAATCATGCATGATATTCGTGAAATCATGGAGAACTTATTATACCAATTAATGATTGAATCTTCTTGAAGTAAAATACACACAAAATACCTAATAATGTAATAAAAGATAAACGGAATGATATCACTGCTTTAGTTACCTTTTGAATAGAATATATTTGATGCTTTTGAAGCACAAAATAGATAAATAAACTTGCTATTTGCCAAATAATAACTGTTTAATGATTAATTATAATAATTATTAAAAAAAACAGAGATCAAATTCTACATGTCATAAAAATTTGAAGTCTGACTACCACCCTCCATACAAATTTGAACATGTCCTTTACCTTGTCAAGATAAAATGTAAAATTCTCAGGTATTGAGCCGTGGGTGTATCAATAATACGATTATTTAATTTCAGGCATCCGTGGTCATATCAACAGCGTATCCCACATAGACAGGGCCGCCAGAGTGTTATTTCCGGCATCTTTCGCTCTACTCAATCTGTTCTACTGGCTGATTTACGCCTTTGCAAACAACGACTTCGACTGGAGTGATAGCCCAATGAATAGTCTCTCCCACTGAAACAATTTCTAGGATAGATAGATACTTGATGTCTCGATGTTTTGCCAATATTAATGTATAGGAAATCATAAGTAGTTACTGTGTAAATATTAGACATTTAGGAAACTATTGTTGTCGCAGCCAAACCTTTTATAGTAAAATATATTTTCTAAATGTATTGACAATGTTATTTCAATAATTTCTCACATTCGTATTTTTTATGTTCTATGCCTTTCTAAACATATTTATTTTTCAACCAAGTGATAGGGATCTTTCCCTACATATCGGTGCTGTAGCCTATAACTCAGTAACCGGCATAATCGAATAATTCATTATCCCTCATTTAATTAGGCTACAAACAGAATTAACACTGAAACACTATACTTCACTCACACACTATTTACATGAAGTGATGTCATACAGATAGCAATCGGCTAGTTTATTTAAAAAAACTTATAAATGTTATAGTTAAATCCGGCTCGAAGGACCAAAAAATTTATAGTTTGTACATTTTTAATGATAAGTTAGAGTGCAGGAGAAAAAGCTCACCAGAGAGATAAAATCCCTGATACATAAGTATTTATAAACAAAGTTATATTAACGTGTGGGATAGCCTACACGTTAGTTGATAAAATATGAAAGTATTGTATTATAACACGGGTTATTAACACGGTCTCAGTGACGTTCGCGTTATATACAATTACAGCGTTAAATAAAAGTATTTTTTGGCTTATTTACCTTTACAGTAGGTACTTACACACAAATTGACACAGTCGATGTTGCCAAAGGTTATAAAAAATTAAAAGCACCATTTTAGTGAAAATCATTCAGTATTTATTTAAGGAAAAGTGAAAAATTAATTAATACGACAGTTTAATTGAGCAATACATAGATACGTAGCTAGTAGGTAAAATGGAAATGGACCAATCATGTTTTCCAATCCTCACTAATAAAAGCAGTCAATAAAGACTCGGTTAAAGAATAATATATATATATTGAAAACAGTATGACGGGGCGGCTAAAACACGTAACATTCTACTTTAATGATATACAGCTCTATTTCTTCAAGGAACATTTTATACACTTCCATGCTCACATTTTCTCTGTTATTGTATATCTTACTATTTTATTACTATTTGTGCTAAAAAGTGTATTTTTTATATAAAAAAATACAGACATACTTGAGAAGCAGTTTCACGCCGTCGGTTCCTAATGAATCCCAAGCCTGCCAACGGCCAGTTTCAATAATCAACCTCAAGAACACGGTAAGAATAATCGAGGCCCAACTCATAATCGTATGGCATCATCAAAGATTCCATGGAGGTTAAAGAGAAGGAGAACGATCGCTACGCATTAGCCCGTCTTCCCTGAAAATTTGTAGAATTTATAGTTAATTTTTCAGTCACCAGCCGCGCTGCCGTCGGTAAGTAGTATCTGTGAAGTTAGCTGTTTATGAGTACAAGTAGATGAAGTTAGTTGAATATTGTACAAATTTTCTTCGCGGCATTGGTCATTTTATTAGCCAGTTTTTATTGATACAACTTGGCGATCGCAGCGCCTCACTTGTTTTGTCCATATTTTCTACAGCGATCGTTCTCCTTATCTCTAACCTCCATGAAAGATACTATGAAAACTAAGCTACGCCCCTACCGGATGTACGCATAACTGCCTTCTTCCATACAAAATTTGACGATGACAATACGATTACGGAGCTGTCAAAATTCCTACTTGGGCCTCTGGTTCCGTTTCATAGCAAGCAACTGTTGTTATGATGGAAAAGTATCTTAGCAACAAAGCTCGAATGACCTCTTACTGGAGTTTGATTATTGAAACCGGCCGATAGTAGGCACAGGTATCCAGATAAAATACCTACCTACGTGTTGGTATTACTTCACGTGGTCTTTTGTATATTATGCTCCTTTACATTCCAATACCCGTAGCATGAGCACCACTTCATTATATTTTTTTATCGCGTCTTACTGGCAAACTCCATATACTAATTTGACAGTTGAGCGTAATAAAAACGAGCTATGTATCATATCGCGGTGCTCATGCTAGGAGGGCAAGAGCACGTTAAGAATACACTGGCTGTTAAAATTAAAAATAGCAAATACGAAGAGTCATGTGAAGTGCTAGCATTAGGCTAAAGCTGCGATTTCAAGAGGCTGATGAGACAGGAACTAGAAGGCAACGAATTAGAAATGACATGGAAGCATTACACTGTAACAAAGGCCGTTAAAACATGGTTCCAAACAACTACAACTTCAATAATATAATAACGCACCACGCAACCAGACAAGACAAAGTACTTTGATAAATCAAATTTATCTGAAAATGAATTCGGCTATCCATTCATTGGGTAAGGTAATGTGAAACGTAAATCCCAACCAATCCCATGATCGGCGTGTTGATCGCATTCTTTGGCCCCACCCACATGATCGCAGTTTGCGTAGATCTATTTTTTAGCGCACTTCGTATTCCATATTATTTCTAATTCGTTGCTAGAATGTGATGTGGCAAATGTTGGATGGGTAAGGTCTTAAAAAATTTCCTCCAGTGTTGGAGGCGCTATAAAGGAAAGTCATTAAAAACCAGAGGCTGAGACCAACCGATATTATTTAGTGCTATGAAAAGTAACGAAAATTACGATTTTAAACGTTTTTTCAAGAATTTTTATTTTATATTTTCAACATAAACAGCATTCTTTGGAAAATTCTATCCCTTTCTATGGCACAGAAAATTGTACTCTACGTATAGCTCAAGTAAATTTTTCAGTGCTATGGTAGGATGGAATGGCAAAATAACACCAAAGAATTATCTTGGGACCCGTTCCCACTGCCATGCCGTCAGTCATCCATACTCCATTTCGATACACAACTTTTTATCAGTACTCGCTAAGCCGATCTATCTATAGATTGTACTAGCTGTGCCCCGTGGTGTTACCCGCGGCTTATTAGGGAAATTAAATCTTGTAGTAACAGTAAAAACAAAAACTATTCACATTTTTAGAAGCAAAATAATTTAAACTTAGACATCGGAAATATAAATTTACAAAATCATTTATTATAATTATGGAAAAAGTAAAATTACAGGAAATGTTCACACTAGTTTAGTATCGAAGAAATGTTTCTATGATACTACACTAGTGTAAGTATTTCCTTTGAGACGAATCTTTTTTGTCATTAGCATTCGCAGAGCTTGTGCTCGCATATGCAGTAATATTGCATATGCAGTAATATTGCATATGCAGTAATATTGTATATGCAGTAATATTGCATATGCAGTAATATTGCATATGCGTGTGATACGCCCCAAACGTTGTGATTCAAATTTCGACCGTGATGTCAAACTAACGCGTCTTATAAAATGCGACTTATGCTCATCAAAGTTGAGGCATACACTATGGCGATTTCGAACAAAATTGAGTAATGTGGACTCTAGCGAGGGTGCTTTGTGGTGACTTTAAACCTCAGCATGCAGTGCAGTGGAAGAACTCAAAGAAATCGACAGGGAGTCGATGTATCTCCCTCTATTCTGCTTCATGCCTACTGCAAACTGAATAAACGTTATAATTAAAACAAATCCTACTTCCTAAACTACACACCATTATATTCTTCACAAACGAACGTTGAAACGTTGTATCAATGATTTGAATAATCTTGCGACTGTTGAAAATATTTTTTCAAAACTTTTTATAATCATTAGATTCTCATACATTTTATAATCTCTGTACCTATAGTTATGTCACACTTATTTCTACGCAACTACTCAGCAAACTTAAAGAAATTTTTTAGCTCCTAACAGCTGCACGCATTCATTTGAGAAAACAAAGTTCCATTTATCAAACAGAAGGTAAATTGTGCCCAAGAAAGAATCACTCCCATAATAAAATATATCAAAAGTGAAATTGGATACACACACACTACTTCAAGAAGAAGACTATTCTTGTAAGTAACGAAAATGTTGCAAGGTTAATTCTAAATAAAACATAGCAAATTCTAAATAGTTAATTGATCATACATATTCAATATACACATATCACATGAATAAATCTACAAAACAATAAATTAATAATACAAGTTCCAATCAAGTCCAGAGAGCTAATATAAAATATTACATTCGATCACCAGATTTGGTCCAATATCTGTAAATATAATTTCTCATTCTATCCAACAATGCCAATCTACTTTTATCTTCATCTATAAATAGGAAGTAGAAGGCAATAGATTAAATACAAAGTGGAATGTTTAAGGCTATCATCATAAGTTCGAAGATCATTGTTACGTCAGAAAATAGTGTAGTATTTTTACATGTATATATATATATATATATATACTAGTATATATCACTTGGACAATCTATAGTCAGTTAGTTACATACATTTATATATACATATATAGAATTAATAAAACAACACAATTTGCCTATCTAGTAATAAATATTACAGAAGTCTTGTAGTGTTCACAAATGTAATTAAAGTTTCGGCATATCGAAAACGTGTTCAAAGTATATCGATTGAAATCCTAGACTCTTTTTCAACACATTTACAGTTGTGCGAACCGTGACGAAAAATATGGATCCTGATCAGGTATGGTCACAGGTTTACTAGATAAAATCGACTTGTCTCAACTGACTTCAGACAGGTATCAAACCTGTGACTTTTTGCTTCCGCACGCGTGCTCTCTCAACTGAGCTTAATCTAGAGTCGGATAAATCTAAATCTTTTTAACACTTTTTAGAAGTGATTTAGTATTATTTTAATATTTTATGCGTTAGCAAACAAAATGCTCATAATGGTTTAATGAATGAAAAAATTACGAAAGGGGGCGTCCATAAATTACGTGAGATGTTTAAGGGGGGGGAGGGGGTCGAGTCAAATCTCATCTAATCTTACGTTTGAGAGAGGGGGGGGGGGGGTCGAGTCCCCCAAACTAAAGAAGCACCAATTAAGTGTGAATAAGCCATAACCTGGACCTCAATTGCAATAAATAACATTTTTTCGTTATGCCGAAACTCTTTTCATCCTTCAATTAGAAAAATATTCATAGGTATAGGTAGTGGCAAACTTCTTAAACCAAACCACAGACAAACAAACTTGCGCAGTAGATATTTTTGTATGTAAAATTACTACTGCGCATGCTTTCTTGTCTATGGTCGACGCCCACGAAGTTTTCCGGGGTGTATATATAAAATTTAACTATGCATAGGCCTTATGCTAGGTTTATCCTGGCTATATTTTCAAAATATAGTAAAATAAAATAAGGCAACCACTACACATACTATCTAAGTATTATACATGTACGTAAACATTTCTACACATACTGAGCCCTTTATAACATCTTTGACTACAATTGGCTATATACAATACAAACAATATGATACAAACCTACCTACGTACTTGAAATATTTGTACCGTGTATTCGTTTACGCACATCGATTTCTATTTTTTTATAAATACAAAGATTACTATATTTTTTGACTATCCACGATTGGGTAGGTAACCAATACAATAATTTTATATACAAAATATATCTTTTTAGAGTACATTCAACACTACAGAAAGTAGGTATATTCGAAATATACAAAAAAAACGGTGGACATTCGTTCTTTTCCTAAGCACTTATCTTATAATAATAACATATTTTTGTCGATAAATATCAATAGATATAATCATCGCATTCGGAACGATTACGAGACCACCTCTACGGAGAATAAAATTGAGACTAGAGCACTGGTCACAGATACAATATATTAAAATTACAGGCAAGGATTGTTAGCACTCTACGACTTATTTTAGTGGTTAAAAACATGCTGCCAATGTTTATATTAAAATTACAAATAAATTAATAGTAGTCCTACAACACAGAGTATTCTTCAAGCTTCTGCTACACCTTATACAATGCACTGCACTCAATAAATAAATAGGGATATCTCTACATTAATATTCAGTATATAAAATATAAATCACAGATTCTATGCTTCATAAAAACATTTCTTACGTCTCCTTTTTGCCAACAACAAGGTATACATTCATGTCATCTTTGCCTTTTACATAGACGCTGCCTCGTGGTTCGAACTCATACCTGTTGGACAATACAGATATACAAGCCTCTCCCACCTGAATTCGCTTTACAACGCCGGTGGAATCCATCCTAGATGCTATGTTAACAGCATCTCCCCATATATCGTAATACAATTTGGTCGTTCCAATTACTCCCGCCGTCACATCGCCGAAGTTATATCCAATGCGGAGTATAAAATCAAATTCTAACAAGTCCTGGTTGAAATTTTCTACAACCTTTTGCATCTCTAAAGCGAAATCCATCAGTTGGTATAAATGTTCGTACGGATCTCTCGCGGCGTGCCTCAAATCAGGATTCAAGCCGCTGGCGGCCATGAATGTGCTGCCGATAGTTTTGATCTTCTCCACATGCTGAAACTCAGATTTCTCTAGCAATTCATCAAAGTCCGCAATCAATTCGTTAAGAACTCTCAAATACTCCTTCCCCATCAGATACGACTCGTCGTACATCTCATTAAAATTAACTATGCTAGCGAATATAATGCCAACGTCTTTATAGTTTTCGGAATATTTGGCAGTATTTTTTAGCTGATCGGCTACGTGTCGCGGTATTATGTTGTGCAGAAGCCAGTCCGCCTGGTTCCTCATGTTCTGTACCCTCTGCTTGTCGCGGTTCGCAACCACATTACTGTAAAAACTCAGGCGGTAACTAATCTCGAATTCTCTATTCAAAAACCACACTAAAATCAGCAATAACGCTATATCCAAATAAAGTTCAGTCAGATGAAGCTCGTGTAGCCCCTTTGCTGGATCTGTACTGTTAGCTGGATTAATCCATTCACTGGTAACGTTAGCCAGACTATCGACAAAGTCCGACATATTATAAATCAATACCCTCGGGATGTTAATATCACCTGTAACTTGAGTATTAGCATCATGACAACCCAGTACGACTACGAAGAGAAACAAAGCGGCATAAAGTGTCACCAGAGTATTCTTAACGAGCCAATTCATTTGTGTAAAATTACAAAAGTGTACTATAGTAACGCACAAAAGATACACATAGAACGATTGATCGCCTCGAAGTATGACTAATGTAGTATTTTCGCACGAGAAGTTATTAATAACGGCTAAAATAGGCAAACTAATCAACAAACTACCACACATATGCCACGGTATCCAATTGGAAAGGTTTCTAAATATCCTTACGGACCGTCTGATCGTGTCGGTTACGTGCGGTGCATTTTTCGTCTTCCATTTCAAATAATGTCTGTAAACACATAACGCCATTGCCACAACTTGAATTAAAGCTAGGCCGAAAAATAGGGCGATGGAATGTCGCCACTCGCCGTACAAGATGAATACTGAAACGGTGACGGCCACAAAAATGATGGCGGACACTAGAATATCAAGGGCGGTGTTAAATCGCGAAGTGGTGAGGGTAGGGGGAAAGTCTTCGCTGTCATCGCTCCTGTGAGCTTTGTCTCTGTAATGCTTCTCTATTTCGACTTCTTTGAAGAACAACGTGAATCTATTGAGAGGGGGTTGTACGAAGTAGTTAATGCCTGACCTGGCGTTGTCTTGCACGCATCGGATCAACTGGAGGTCGGATTGTTTGCGCAGTTTCTGTAATGACTGCACTTGCTGCTCATTGAGGGGTGGTGGCAGGCGACCTTTGGTCATGTGCTCGTTGAGAGAGGACTGACTGGAGGTGTAGTAGCCCGATACCCGATGCTGCATCATGTCGGCCTGTGATGTCGCCAACGCGTGATTCAGAGCAAAAATCTGAAAGAAAGGAATATATTATTTCAACATGGAGCCGAAATGACATAATAGGGATGATGACGAAATTCTATTTAGTCAATCAGTTAGATTATCCAAAAATAAAATACACATATTTTGTTCTTTTGTCAATCAACCAAAAAATTAGGCGCAAGAAAGAAAAAAATCTAAATTCACATTATCAAAAAAACATTACAGAGATATATTCGAAATGTCGCACGACGCCCGTCGTACGTCCTGGTACAATTGTTACTGAGAGAGAAGTGACGTCAGGAGGCTCCAATCCCAAACTTTGACGCGCTTTATCTTTGTAATTATTTTGTAGATTGTTGTTATGTTATGTTATGTTATTGAAATGAAATTAAATATTTATTAAAACCATAACAAAGATACAATGACAATAGTGATCGATAATAACTGCATTAGTTATAAAACTGTGTCGCAGTTATTAACGCTCACCTCCAGAAAACAATCTTTGCTACAATAAATTTAATTTTAATCTTAATCCTAATTTAATATTAAAACAGAAATTAAATGCGTGTTTGTGTCTTATTTGTGTGTATGTATGTGAGTGTATGTGTGTGCATGTGTGTGTGTGTGTGTATTTGTGTGAATGTGTGTCTGTGCGAGAGTATGTATAGCCCAAATTTACACTACATGATCAGGCCAAACCCAATAAAGTACCAAATAATGCCACTGTATCAGAATATGTCAGTCTTTGAAGCTATTCCATAGTTTTACCCTGAATTTTCTAAGAATAAGAGGAAATATAATAAGAACTCCGTTTGTTGTATAAAACAAAAGATATAAAGCAGAAGTGGCTACATTAATCTTACACTGCCTGTCTTACACAAAATGTAAGGTCTACTTAACGAAACACGGTCATCATATGGAATCTGCGAGTGTTTACGTAGTATTACATTAAGTTAGTAAATCTGCCTAACTGACATAAGATTAAAAAAATTATAGAGCTCAGATGTTGGAAAGGTAATTGGTTTGAAATTAATTATTTTAAGAACAGCCCTTTGAGCCCTTTCCAGACGTAAGAGGTGAGTTTTACCTGAACAACCCCAGACAATAATGCAAAATGATATAAGTGCACCCTTCGCAATCCGGGCGAATGCACTGACCAATTATGCTACCGCGGCCCTTTTTTCTAGTTATATTTTCTTTAGATTTAAACATCAAGCAGTTACATGCTTTAAAAATAATAAAAATTATAACTATAATTGCTATTTCTTCTTTCAAATGTTTAATACTTGTAAAAGTATTCATTTGACATTGTGGGTTTACCTATAATGCGAAGAGATGGCGCTGCCTTGCAGCTTAAGAATAGCTAGAAAGAATTTCGACGCGATCCGTGAGGGCCGCGGTAGCATAATTGGTCAGTGCATTCGCGCGGATTGCGAAGGGTGCGGGTTCGAGTCCCGTCTGCTGCCTGGTCCGCGTGGAATTTTTTTCTAGTTATATTTTCTTTAGATTTAAACATCAAGCAGTTACATGCTTTAAAAATAATAAAAATTATAATGATATAAGTGATTGGCCTTAAGCGTAACACGTAGTCCTGAGAGTTCCCAAATCTATGACATTTCTAAGATTTTTAAATATGAACATTAACTTCCTGACTCTAGCTATTGTAGTATTAATTTGTTCCTTCCAAGACAAAACAGCATCAACCCAAACACCAAGGTTTTTATTGTGAGGAGCACGCTGGATTTGCAAACAGCTACAGTTTTTGCATTCGTTTACTCGTAATTGATGAGCACGAATGGTAAAAGAAGAAGATGGAAGAGAGTCTGAACGTGCTGCAAAAGTAATGAATTGGTTTTATCTATATTGCGGGTTAGCAAATTTATGGATAACCATTTCATTACTTCCTGTAGTGCAAATTCAGCGTTTGAAGAAACTTTACTCCAGGTACTTCCATGGATTATCATAACAGCCCGCGCGAATGTATTTGCGGATGATACCCGCATTTACAGTGATTTTGCAGTTTGGAAGAATCAATTTTCAGAGGTAGATATATTAAAAAGGGTAGGACCTAGGACACTACCCTGCGGAACACCGTAACTGATATCTTCATCCTGACTTGTAAAATTGTGTATCCTAACACACTGCGAACGATCACCAATATAACTTTTAAAAATATCCAACGCAACACCCCAAACCTCGATCCTCGAAAATTTTTCAATCAGAATAGACAGTGTCAAAGGCTTTAGGAAGATCCAGGAGATAAGGAACAAATTTCTTAAATACTGATTCGCTAAGTTGTAGAACTGCATCTTCGGTTAATTTATTTTTACTAAAAACAAACTGATTTAGTGCAATATTGATATTTGCATCAAGATAATTGATGAGTCTTTTGATTAGGATATTTCCCAGGATCTTAGACAATACCGTTAAAACCGAGATAGGCCTATAGTTTGTGACACTGCCCTTGTCCCCACTCTTGTGAATCGGGTGTACAAGGGCTTTTTTGAAAGCTGTTGGAAAAATACCGGACGTGATACACAGATTAAAAACATGCACAAGAACAGGAACCAGTGAAGTCCTGGCTGTTTTAATTATAGCAGTAGGAATCCCATCCCATCCAGTTGCAAAAGTATTTATTAAATCATTAATAATGATTTCAATTTCTTTACCATATGTAATAAAAAGGGACATTGAATTTATTGGAGAACAATTTTCTGAAATTACAGAATTTTGTGGTACCGAAATACTGAGAGCCAATTCATTGGCAAAGTAATGATTTACTGCATTTACTGCACAATTTTTGGTCATTTGAAAGGGAAAGAATATTATGTAATGTTGATTTTTTTGTTAATTAACCTGATAAGACGAAGAAAAGAAGTTACTTATCATCCCTATTGCGTATGATATTGTGGAAAATTATTTGAGTCTTTAAAATTAAATATATAACAGAAAATCTTTTAAAATAAACTGTAATTAAAATAGCTAAAAATCTCTACTCTCTCCCTCTTATTAATAATCAAAGAATAAGCTTGGATAAGTTACTCTATGTTTTGTCTCTTTTCATTTATGACAAACGGCATTTGAGTGATATGAACAAAACACGGCGTAACTAACTAGTCTAAGCTTATTCCTCGTTTATTAATTAGGGGGGTTGTGTCTTATTTTTAGCAAGTAAATGTGACAGTTAATTTTAATATCAGGTCTAACTTTCTACCAGGTTTTCTATAAAAAGAATAGGTATGTGTCTAATTTTACTCTTTATCTCTTACTTATTTATACCCAGAAGTCGACATTGGACTACATTCATATCTGATAGAAATAATATTCCTATTCAACGGCAGATTTAGAGAAATAGTTGGAGGAAACAATAAAGTCATACATCTCATAATTCCCTTTGTTGTCTTTTAAGACTTGCGCGAGATGATAAACAAATGCTGGTATTCTATATTTGTCTTTAACTTTCTTTAGTTCATGAGCAATGGAATAAAAGTCCCATTTGACCTTCTTGTTCTAAAGGATACTTAATTGGACGTTTTCGTTTGTTTTTAATTTTTGATAATTTTGTGATATCAATCGCGATACACTGAGCTTAACATCGTCGTTTTGAAAGATAATTTGATTGCTCTGGTTTCGTTTAATCCATTCTATACTAGTACAAATATTATAAATGTGAAAGTGTATATCTGTCTCTCTAGCTGTTGTTGTTAAGCGTGAAGAGGTAACAGGCAAAGCGGCTTAAACCGCTTATCTGATTTAGACGAAATTTGTTATAGAGATAGTTTGAGCCACGTGGAAAAGAAACACATCCATCCAGAAAACATCCATTAAGGTGGTGGAAAGGGGGGTGGCAGTTTGTGTAGAAAACCAATTTTCCACGCATACGAAGTCGCGGGCACCCACTAGTTTAATATATGAAACGATTATACTTGTGGGTAGCGTAGATTTCAGCCGCCCCCTTAAGCACAGTTAAAACGACGGATCGGGTCTTTCTTTTTTAATGATAAGCGATAAAGCCCACGCCTCCTCGCCTTTTGCGCAGTGCCCTACTTTTAAAGTTTGTTTCAAACGTTCAAGCAAATATAAACAAAAAAAAAAGAAAATCACAATAAGCTATCATTTTTAACCAAGTCTAAAGAATTTGATGATCTAATTTTAATTCTGATAAGATTTTAGGAATTCCTGTCACTGAGCGATCTGTAAATTATCTATAGTTAGGCTTACCTCATATGTTTACTAATTCTGTGCCATGTAAAACATTGTGCGAGAAACTTTGGCCCCATGCGAATAAAATATCGGAATATCGTATTATACTGCGATCCAAACTTTATGGCCGTTGTGAAGTAAGCAACGATCGCAACTATGCGTAGATTTCAATTCAGTGACATCGTTGGCGCACCTATATCATCTTATGTTTCGTTTATTTTTTTTTCAAAATTGCTTTGTATTAAAATTAATGTTAATATCAAAAATTTCATAACATTCAATTGCTAGTTAAGTGTGTATTGCATGTTATAATCGCCTATAATTAAAGTTCCACTAATAAACTGTCTTACTATTAAATATATAAATAAGAAATGTTGAGTGTAACTTAGTTGGCGATCAATTAAATAAATAAATTTACGGATCCGAATTTCATAACCGTTATAAGTTTTGATCACACTTTAACCAAAGTTCCCTTAGTTATATTATACTTTATGGTGACTTGTGGAGGAGTTTGCTGGCAAATATTATGTTACTGGAGGAGCATTAAACACGAATTTAAGAGAGGGTATGGCATAGCGGACCTCCGCTCGAATTGGAGTGCCAGTTTGGGGAAGTTACTTCCACCTTACAGAAGACCACAGAAAATAACACTACCTTTTGGTGGTGTTGTGTTTTGTCGGTCAGTAAGGTTCCAGTACTCCAAGGGGTAGGGAATAGGATCAGGGTAGGCAACGCGACTGATGTTTTTGTATCGCAAGCGTCTAAAGGCTGTAGTGACCGCTTACCATCAGGCGAGCCATGTGGATGTTTGCCACCCTTTTGACATAAAAAAATTGGTTTACGGAAGATAATTTTACATGATAACGTGTCGTTCGCTGTTTTCGTCGGGGCAATTTTCTCTGGCTTTTTGTTCCGGTTCGTTTCAACCCAAGCACGCCTTCGCGGAGGCGAGGTACTCTCTGAGGGGGAGGTGGATCGGGGGGGGGGGGGGGGGGGGTGTCAGGATATGCGGGTCGTGGGAACCCCTAGACTTCACCTTACATACACCGCGGAACGTTGAACTAACGTGATATGACGTCACAAAACGTGACTCGCGACATGACATCACACTCTTTCGTGCGTGCAGCCGGTGTCCATCGTTTTATAAGACATTATCACGTCAAAAAATAATATTAACTTTGAATCGCACTTTACCTGCTGCTGAATGCTGGATCGTCGGCTAGTACTTCGGATGCCAGAGTCCTTGCGACTGTTGACCGAGGGGCAAAGGCTTACAGCGTCGTCTTGAGGCCGCACTGGCGGAGGCGGCGGCGCAGACGGCACTGGCAGAGGCAAGTTCAGACGACGCTCCTTCGGCCGCAGAAAATCGCCCTGCGTCGTTATAGTAGAACTTCGAGCGCGACAAACCGAAACCTAGGAAATTATTAACAATGACAGTTTAAAACTTAATTTGTTTTCATACTGCTAGGTTTTCAGGACTCTAGGAATGGGTACCTGATCAAAACACTAATAGCCTCGATATATTATCATCATTCATTAGTAAATAAGTTACTAGTAACATGAGGTTACAGATACAACTTACTAAAATTTATATGATACGAAGTTTTCTGTAGAAATGAGTTGCCAAATTGAAATAAATAGACTTTGGTCCTCCCTAAAATCCGTTAACTATAATTTATCGCATATAACAATAATAGATTTGAGATGTTTGATGCTATGATAACTCAGGTAATCAGTTAGAGACATTTATGGCCTGCGCAGACGAGGGAAATCAGTTAGTGACATTTATAGCCTGCGCAGACGAGGGACTTTAGTTCGCGGACTTTTTTATCCGCAAAGATCGCTCGCAACGACGTCGAGTGCGTATGCACACCATGTGCGTTGAGTCCGTGACAAGTTCTTGGTAGAATTTTTTTCACTATTCAGGGACTTTTGTTCACCGCGAAAAATTAGAGAAGCGTACGCATGGAAGCAATATACTAAGATTAGGTTGTGTTGTAGTAAAAAATAAGTTTAAAAAATCGCTGATGTTTGCGTTGCTGCGTCTAGTCACATGAGTTCTATTTGTACGCGGCACTTCTACTTAATCCCTTGCGTGCGTTACTCGATGCAGTTGTAGCAATTTATTTTGGCGGACAAACAAGTCCGCGACGAGTCTCTCGACTGCGCAGGTCGTAATGGCATTTATAACATTCTGAATGAAAAATTTATAAACTTTACACTTCTTTACTGAAATTTCAAATCATAAAAGTAGCTAAATATTACCTTAGGAAATATTTTCTCATAACAATGTCTACTCATAATAGGGATGATGACTATTTTTTTTTCTTCGTTTATCAGGTAGATTATCAAAAAGTATTGGATACGTATTTTTTCTTTTTTCACATAATATAAACATTGCAGAGATATATTGATTTGAAAAGTCGCATGACGTCACGTTTTGGTACACTTTTAAGTGAAAATTCACTAAAAAGTGACGACTCGTGACGTCATCACGAGCCACTACTCCCGAACTTTGACGCGCTCTAACTTTGTCATTTTTTGGTTGATTGCCCAAAGAAAAAATACGTGTCCATTATTTTTTGATCATCTAACTGACGGACTAATTAGAATTTCATTTACTGTACCCCGTCATCACCCCTATTTCCCGTACCCGTCAAACTGAATGATAGTTAAGAAATGTAGGAAATATAAGCTGAAAGTAAATATTCACCTCCATGTTATTGTGCGGTCTACCATACTGTGACCTATAACTACTACTTCTAGCGAATGGCGACATGTTACTCCTGGACTGACTCAAATATGAACGGATGTCGATAATCTCCCTCTCAAATGATCCTATGTCATGGCTCTGAGGTATATTCAGCTTACTGCTACTCTGCATTTGGACAGGCTTGGCGGACTTATTGTCTTGAGTTTCTATCACTATAGGCACTTGTTGATACCCATTACTCGATTGTATACCAGCGCCGTCTCCTCGCTCTAAGAAATGTATAGTTTTCTCGCAATAATCTTGTTTTTTAATTTCGTGCAAAGGCGTATCAGAATGCTTTCTCAAAAATCTGGGCACTTTCCAATTCCTCAATTTATTAGTGTACTTGCCGTAGCTCCCTGAAAAGCCGTTTGTATAATAGTAGATTTTATTGGTAATAAAAACAGCGTAAGTACGGTAGAGCCAGATTACCCGTTTGCCCGGCTTGGGCAAATACAAGATACCACATTCAGTACAAGTTAATAATAGCATTGTTATGATCGTGACGAGATGATAACGACACGCTAAAAAATATAAATCATTTTTCACACCTCGAATTTACCTACTAAAAACAGAAAAGATGTCGTTGCCTATAGAATTACATAAAAACATATCATTTAAAGTGCTGGATATAAATGGCATTATAGTGATCAAATCTGAACTAAATGTGTTCATTAATTTCTAGACAATGTGATAATTAAACAAAATCGTTAATATTTATTTATAAGTGTTTTATTGCGTTCGACCCATTCTTTGAAATTTCTCGTTTTTTCAAGACTAGATAGGCAAAAATGCTGGCCGTTATTATGATGACACCCGTTATCAAATAAATAATTTCACTTCATAACTTTGTCATCCCAAATGTGATGGAGAACATTTCCTACACATATAAAACGCGCCATTATACATATCTTATCTAACCAGAGTCTTCAACGGCCGATAATGACTTTTCCACAATTCAATTTATATAACGTAGGTATAAAATCTGTGGTCAAGTAAACATACGAAACCGATATAGAGTTTACATCAACACACAAATCTCTAAAACTTACGAGATAAATTATTACACACCGCAGCTAATCTTACGACCGCGCTTGTCGGAATCTCTATCAATCTTTCGTCTATTTTCTGGCTGGCACATAATATGTTGTCGGGATGCAAACTACTACCACTAACTACTAATATACATTGTCCCTAGAATCCTTACTAATATATTAATATAAATAGGAAAACTTACCGACAGACGTGGGACTTTTTGAAGAGTTATCGTTCTCTTCAGGGAAATGTTTCTCCCTTTTATCATCCAAATCGGCATCAGAATCTAATATACTTGGCAGTGAACTGGCTTTATTACGAAAATTAAACGGATTCGGAGATAAAAAGTTTTTCGCGTCATGTATCCTCGGGCTGATCCTATCGTTCTTCATGTCATTGTCTTTTGCAGAGAACGGTGGTGAGGTATTGAAGGACAGGGCGGACTGGGGAGAAACTGCGGGTGATATAATAAGACGTAAGTTTATAGGATGGGAGGGAGTGAGGCACTGGTCGTGATCATACGGGGAGTACAGCTGCCGACCTTCTATGAAGTAAGTTTTGTGACCTAAACACGTATACAACACATTATTAAAACAAACATCAGAGCAGGAGACATGCTCACGGAGAAAACATTCAGAATGTAAGCCACACTCACCGAAAACCTCCTCTCCTTCTTCCAAAACATAGGATCCGCCAAGAAATCTACTAGTTTCCTCTGATATATGGACACGGCCTGGTTTCCCAGTCGATTCCATTTTATTGGCGAATGTGACGTCGTTGCTCCACACATCAAATTTAAAGCGACGGGTACCAACGATGCCGCAGAGCACCGTGCCGGTATGCACACCGACCCTCATATTAACACCCTCGCCACTTTCTCTGTCAAATTCCTGTATAGCATCTATCATACCTAAAACACATTGGATCCTCAGTGGCAGTCTTACAGGCAATCCAAAAATACTTAAAAACAGTTTCGATGACACGGGGAGAGTATACAAGTTTTTGCTTGTAAACTCGGCCCGTATCATCGAGTAGCAGATTTATTGCAATGCTTAATAGCAAAGCAAGCAGCAATATCTTACCCAATCCCATTTCAACACAACATGTTGCATGATCTGGTCTAGGTTCTGGGCAACCAGAAACACAGTAGTAACAATCTCCTAAAGTAGATATTTTTTCGCAACCATGAATTTGACATAGCTCATCAAATTTTTCAAACAAATCATTTAATATATTGACTAACTCATCAGCACCCTTGTTACTTGACATTCTTGTGAAGCCAACAATATCAGCAAATAAAATGCTGACATTATCCATTGAGCTCATGTTAAATGGTCTAAATAAGGACTTTATATCTGAGGCTCCAGGGTTGGAATTTCTTTGATGAAGTGGATCATGAGTTTTGAGATTTGTCTCTGATTCAAGTACTTGTTCTTCCATCAACCAACTGGCCAATTTTGGAGGCATCACTGAATGAATCATTTTCTCTTTCAATTGTTTCTCCATCTCCAATTGCCTTCTAACCAACAAACTTTGACCAACTTTCATAAATGTGCCACGCATTCTTACAAATGTCATTAAATAAATATGTACACCTATTATGTGTACACATAATTGCAACAAGATTCTCACAAACATTCCTGGACACTGCCATTGCTGCTCAGTTAAATGCAATACAATGTTCAATATTTCAAACACAATGGAATACAAAAGTCCAATAATAACACAAGCATACAGTGGCAACGGTGTTAATGTATATATAATCAGTAGGATCTCAATACAAATCGTAAAGTGTCCTGACTGGCTGATATCAGCTGCTTGAGGAGAGTCTATGTCTAACTGTGTAGTTAGGGTCACTAAAGACAGACTTAAAGTACACAGAGCAAGTGCCATGATCAGTGAAAGTTTGAATGTGTACACCTTGTAAATGTATGTAAATGTGACAAATAACATAACAGATGTAATCAAAAGCACTCCACCGAACATTGAACTTAAAAATGGCCATTTTACTGTGACACCGTTTAAGCCAAGGCCAACAAAGTACACAAACCATGATATAGAAAATATCAAAATGTACAAAAGTGCAAATCTGAAAAGGAAAAAAGAAAATCAACAATGGTATAATTTTTTTATTAAATAATAACTCATGCAGAAGTATTGAGAAACAGGAATATTAATTACATCAAACACACCTGAATCGTAATCTTATTTGTCTGAAGGAACTGCTTCTGTATTGACCCTCAAGTATTTCAGAGTCAAATCTGGGATTCCACCAAATGCCATGTGCAGCCCTTTCAAAAGCAATTGGTATTGCTAGTCCACAGCAGTTGGTTGTGGGATTGTTATGCGCCAAATATGCCTGCACATGAGGTGCCAAACGTATCTGTGCATCTTCAGCCTCAGAGCATTCAGTATCATGTTTAACATCAAACTGTTGCGAACCATTGCTGCAGTTAACACACCCACTTGGAGTACTCATTGTTAGCTGAAGTATTTATTAATTCCATCCATTTTCAAAGAAAACCTTAAGCTATCAGCAATGGGAGGTCTGCTAAAACAATTAATTTAATTTTAATTTTTATAATTTAAAAACACTATTAAAATTTTACTAATATTCAGTAAATCAACAAATTATTATTATATTAACGAACAAATATCAAAAATTCAAGAATAATGCAAAATGATGTATGGAGAACATCAGATACTACAAGATTTAGGTTTTGTAAGGCAAAATTGAAATGTTTATTTGATAATAAAATTTATGGAACTATCAAACTATTAAATGAACTTACAACTTGATAAATTATTTCAAGCATAATTCCAAGAATGAAATTGTCAAGAATGGATTATCAACCTTTTTTTATTATATATGTAGAAATGACATACCTACCTACTGTTATAAGGTTTTTGTGTGTTTAATCTAAAGTTCATGTATGTCTAAATATTAGCTTAGTCTTTATTATTATTTATTATGTTTTCTCCTTCCATAAAGAAATAAATACTTTTAGAAATGGTGCAATATATTTAAATATTTTCATTTAATCAAAGCAATTTATAAATTTTTCAACTGGACTGTAAGTGGCAAGTTATATACTTACATTAAACCTACAAGTAGACAAATGCAAGGTACATTAGTATTTCATTTAGTATAACATGATGCGCCAAGTATAAGTATATGAAATAAAACCATGAATTGAAATCTACTCACCAAACATTTTCTTAGTGGAAAGAGTTTCTGTAGATATTTTTTTTACACTATCTACTTCAATGAAGTCAAACAAAAATCATATCCACTATTTATTCAACGTGCTAACCTGGACAGTTCATTGTACAAATTATTATTTATTTTTTCCTAAAAAAAATAATAAATAGCTAACATTAATGTAGTAAGTATTAGGTATACTAGGTATATACGTATATACCCACTTAGAGCAAATAATGATTGAATAATAGTGATGGGCGTAATTATCATTAAGTAATCGATTATGATGAATCTGTTGATTTATATTTTTTTAATCCTTTATCAATCATTCATTTTATTATTGATTTTGTAATGAATAAAAAATACGCCAATAAATATTGCAGCATCAAACATTTTTTGAACGCACACATAAAATCTGTCAACCTCAGCAGCAACTGATGTTGATTCTCTAAACCTAAAATTAAATCAACAGCAGTGTATCCCTGTCATTCTCTATACAGAATGAACGGGAGAGAGTTTGAGAATTATGCTAGAATCGACACCAATATACTTGTCTGTCGTGTTGTGTCGTGATGACTCATGACGCGTCAGTGAGGCATCGATTTCATACATTTAGTATGGTTAGATTTTATATTGTGTCGACACGCACTCACTCTTACCGTACTAAATCCTGATAAATCACTGGCGCGTCACGCACGACACGACACTGCAGAGAAGTATATTTGCTGATTTCCTCAGTATTCTTATGTCGGGACTTCATATTACTATTCGTTATTAGTATTTGTAAGCCTGACAACAGTCTCTCCTTTTTATTACTGCCTATAGAGTATGATAAGAACAACCTGCTAACAAAATGACAAAAAGCAAATATGAACAGCCGTGTGAAATGCCGGCATTATAGTGACAATAAAGAATCCCACGAGGAGGCGTGTTAGATATTAACGGATTAATATCGGATGCGTTATTGCTATATGTCGTCATACATCTATTGCGTCATCAATATCAATGTATGTTAAATATTATTGGAAGATAATATCGGAGGCGTTATTGCGATATTTCGTCATACTTCTATTGCGTCGTTATTATCGCAGCAGTATCTAACTTCGTAGTCATACTCATACATAATGTACTTAAAACAGATCGGTATCACAATGCATCCGGTATCACAATGCATCCGGTATCATCGACCGATAATCCATAAATAGCAAAATAATAATGTAGGTAATTTTTCCAGCACCACAAGCTGAAAAACCAGGCTTAACATCCACGTTTCCAGTAGAGTAAAAAAGATAAAACACTTTTTATCATAACTTAGCTTCGCAATTTGATCCATTGTGATTTGCCTTTGATTATTTCAGCACCATTTCAGCCAACCCTTAAATAACTTGGAGCCTTGAAAATTAAGCCTAGCCTTTCGATAAACTCCACCCACATCACATGTAAATTCCATCCACACACAGAAGACTTCACTTCTCCGAGTTTTATTCTGAACCTGCTCCATCGTCTGATTTGCTGCTCCTCTTAAATATTTAGAAGTAAAATGTAAAGTTTGCCGAAAACAATTCTATGCCTATTTAAATTTTTCGGGTTTCCAAATACAGTTGAGGTTTATTTCGCAAATTATTTTAACACCGGTCATGATAACTAGTTATCTGATTTGCGTCTCTATCTCCCCAAATAACAGCACTGCCCGACGTGTGCTTAGGTTTGCAGTTACAGGTCTTTACAGGTCTGTTAAAAATTTTTATATGCAATATTTTTCTTGATTATTTTTATTATTTGATATCACGTGAATATATAAATTATAATTCAATACCGATTAATATGATAATCGCTTTTACCAATTATTTATAATTGTAGAGTGCAGCACTAGCTTGTCAAGTCAACTGTGTGACCAGATTCAGTATTTTAATACTTTTTCGGTATATTTTATCGACTTTTAAAAGATGCTCTGTTTTATCATAATCTAGCTAATCTCTTAATCTTATTTTACATAAGGTTTTTGACGTGACAAAGATACGCAATCGGCCTTCGCGTTTGGCAGCATTTGACATCTGTCTCTCTTCTACTTGAGTGAGCGATGCGTCCGCGTGGACAGCTGCTATACAATAATACATTTACATGTTTTCGTCAAGTATGAAATGCAGTGAAAAGTTAATGTGGTGTCAATTGTTTATAGCAACGATAATTGCTTTCGATATTAAATATATGTTCAGTGATCAACCAAAAAATGACAAAGTTATAATGCGTCATAGTTTGGGAGTAGGGGCTCGTCACGTCACTTTTAAGTGAAAATTGTACCAAAACGTGACGTCATCGTGACGTCTTGCGACTTTTCAAGTCAATATATCTCTGCAATGTTTATATTATGTGAAAAAAGATAAAATACGTGCCCAATACTTTTTGATAATCTACCTGATAAACCAATAAAAAAAAATAGTCATCATCCCTATTATGAGTAAACATTGTTATGAGAAAATATTTCCTAAGGTGTAATATTTAGCTACTTTTATGATTTGAGATTTCAGTAAAGAAATATGTAAAGTCTATAAAATTTTCATTCAGAATGTTATAAATGCCATTACGACCTGCGCAGTCGAGACTCGCCGCGGACTTGTTTGTCCACCAAAATATGCTACAACTGCATCGAGTAATACGAGCACGCAAGGGATTAAGTAGAAGTGCCATTTATTGACAAAACTATAACAATAAGTCTGAGCAATAAGTTAACAGAACTATTTCACGATGAGTAAAAATCAATTAATAAATTGTAAATAAAAGTTGTAAAACAAAGCACATTCATACTCGTAAAAACGATGTACATTGTAAAAAAGTCACGTTTAATTATCGTCAGTAAACCAACTTTACAGACAACCTTTTTTTTTCGTTCACCTTGTTATACAAATATGGCCCTAGATAGCATGAAAACCTTTTATAAGAAGAAGTATCGTATTATTCTATCCTGCTTATGCTCTTCACTCTCCGATCACCAATTCATTCGGGATGAGTCTCATATTAATTTCAAATGATGGTTTGAGAACCGTTTTCAAAATTTAAAGTGTAAGATGCCCACTTAACCTATACAATTCAGTTGCACAAAATGTAACATCATGACTTTGAATACAGATCTCTGAACCTTTTTGTAGTCAATAATCTCGTCTTACAGACACCACCCCATACCTCAATACAACATGAGAGTATGGATTGTCAAAGTGCGTAATATATTATTTAAGCAATTTGATATCAGCTACGTGACGTAAATTCTTCATGACCTAAATAACTTTCCGTATCTTGCCATTTAAACTTTTTATCTGTTGTGTCTAGGAAAGGTGTTTGTCTATTTCGACACCTAGACTTGTAATATGTGACGTTGCCGCTATATGAACACGTGTCAGCGTTGCCAGATACACTGTAATTACAGCAGATCTACTGTATTTTCACACGATCTACTGTACACTGTAATACTAAAATTACAGTGTATGGAGGACACTGTAATTTTTCTAAGGGCTAAAATCTTTTCGGAGAGCGTTCGAGAATGAGTTTCAAACTTACTGGACTTTGTTTTCACCGGATCTCGAACGCACTCGTAGTTTAATGTAATTAATCTGAAGGCAGCCTTTGTAAAAAAAGATTATTACGAACTTGTCGAAAGGCAACCCCCCGTCCCGCGCCACCTCTCTGCTTATGACACATCTCTTGTTACTATTGAAATAAGAACGGAAATGTCTTATTTTAAACGGGCAAGAATAGTGGCGTGGTGTATACTATGCGGGAATTCCCCGGACGTAGACTAGGAATCATTTCGGAGAGTAGGTACGTATTAAGCGCCCAAATTTTGTTAACCGTGTTTAAGCACGAGTTGCATTAATTTTAAACCAACTGAGAATATGTTAAAATCATTTCATTCGGGGATCTACAAAAAAGAAACTGCTGTCGGGCTAAATGATAGTGACAGTGATTAATAAGTGGTTGGTTAGTCAACTAGAAAGTGTATTTTCATTGAAATTTAAACAATATAAGTTTCTTGATATCTGCTGTAAAATTTACTGTATATTTTTTTACTTTTACTGTATTTTTATCTCAAACACTGTATTTGTTTGCACCCAACACTGTAATATCAGTTTCCTCGTCTGGTAACACTGACACGTGTACAAGTTATAGATGGAGTAACATTACACATATGCGCCTGAATGCCAAAAAGTGAATGAGGTTAGGTACTACTATTGAAAGAAAAGGTAACACAGATCTTGCTCTGCATAATTTCGAACCTCATTCCAAGTATTTTCAGAATATAAAAGAGCAGTGTCATCTGCAAAAGTAACAATCTTACCATTTAGTAGAGTGTGAAGACACAGCTCATTTATATAAATCAGGAAGAGACTCGGACAGATCACGCTACCTTGTGGTGTTCTGGCAGGGGTGATAGACATTTTACAGTTTTGGATTGGTAGGATAGTCCTCAAAAATTTTCAGCGGTACTCCACAGATACCCAGTTTTCGATTTTATTTAGCAGAATAGGAATAGACACGGTGTCAAAAGCTTTTGCTAAGTCCAAAAGTATACCCAAACATTTCTTTCTTTTATCTAGATTTTCTATGCTTTCTGTTAAATTACCGACCGCGTCTTCGGTTGACCTACCAGCCCTAAAACCAAATTGTGAATCTGGCAATACATTTTCAGTCTCAAGATCGATTCTGGCATGATTCTCTAAATCAAAACTTAAATTTGGCAACAGTGTATCCTTGTCATTCTCAATACAGAATGAAAAGGAGAGACTGATGTTAAATTTAATTGTAAGTATAGAGAATCACGCCAGAATCTACACCATTGTTGACATCGTCTCTATTTCCCTGCTTGAACACAGGTTATATCAGTGCCTTTTTAAAAGAATTTTGAAAAGCACCCCTAAGCAAACACAAATTAAAAATGTAAGTGAGAACAGAAACAACACGCTAATTTTAGAAATCAAGAAGGAATGCCATCCCAAAAAGCTGCTAAATAAATTTTAAGATTTTGTATTGTTGTATAAACCTCTTAGGGACTTCAAGTGTCTCTATGGTTGTAATACAAGTTTTTACAGGCCAGAGTGCACGCTGATTCAGACTCAGAAAACAGGCTCGTGAGATGTCAGCTTGAGGAAAGCAGGTGATGGCCACAGTGGAGGCAGATAATACAAGACGCGGACGCGAGCACTGTTGCCAGGTTGGGGGAGGTTACTCCAAA